CTATTGATCATTTTCATCCAGGGAGTTACTTTTCTTTTTTTTTTTTCCTCCTCATCTTTCCTCCTTACTCCTTTTCACCAACAGGGTGGTGGTGGTGCTGCATCTGCTGTCCACAGGCTGAACTAGCAGTAGCAAGAAGGGGAATCACTGAGTACAGTTAATGCACAGAGTCACAGGCAGACTGTAAGACAGCAGGGGATTCCCTCCAGCAGCCTCTGTGCGTACACTGCATAGAAAGTCTTCTTTGGTGCTCCAGGGCTGCGTTGTGCTAAGGATGCAAATGTGCAGGGGACGTTTGCTGGGGATCTCAGTGGCCATAGCACATGGGGTCTTCTCTGGCTCACTGAACATCCTGCTGAAGTTTCTCATAAGCAAGTATAATTTCTCCTTCCTCACCTTAGTGCAGTGCATGACCAGCTCCGTTGCCGCAATCACATTAGAAGTTCTTAGACGCTGTGGGAAGATATCTGTGCCCCCATATGGCTTAAGCCTTGCTCGGATGTTTGTTGGGGTGACCATTCTCTCCACTCTGCAGTCCAGCCTCACGCTGTGGTCTTTGAGGGGGCTCAGCCTGCCCATGTATGTGGTCTTCAAGCGATGTCTGCCCTTTGTGACACTCTTAATTGGAGTACTGGTGTTGAGGAACGGGATACCCTCCATAGGAGTATTGGTTGCTGTGTTCATCACCACCTGTGGTGCTGCTCTGGCAGGTAAGCGGACGATCCTTTCAAGTTCTTGCATTAGATTGCTCTGAGCGGGACATAAGTGGCAGCTTTAGGCTATAGCTTCATTCCAGTTAAGGTACCAGTTACTGACAGGATGCTCTGCCTTAAATCTTTTACAGCAGCACCTGTCCAGATTTTATCACTGTGTAACTGTTGCAGATGTTACTGTAGCTTTTGCTAGTATGACAAGGGAGTTTCCAGTCCACCCTGTATGTTCAGGACATCATTATAAGACTCCAGAATGATACACTGCAGTATTCAGCTATGACTGATTAAGCTTCTAGAACCGGTGCAGTGTATCCCTGTTTTATACATTTGCAATGACACAACTAAAGCTACAAAGTAATGAGTAGGTGTTCTCATCACACACAACCCTTGTTGCTTTTATGTTGGGTATTGCTTTTCCAATTAGCAGCCTAAACCATCACAAAAGAGTTCCTAGGCACATGTACTAAGGTTAAGTTAAAATGTGCTATTCACTTACCTTTGTATGGGTTGAAGTGTTTCATTTTCACCTTCTTCTTCCTTGTACTATGAACTACATGCAACAGAGATTATACGGTTAACACAATTACTGCTCAGTCCATTATTTAAGATGTATTTTTTTGTAGCTGCAGAAATACTTTTTTGTCTTTTAAATGACAATAGTAACTTTGTTATTGTGTGTAAAATTCTACTTTATTATATTTTCCATGATCTTTATGCAACATAGGAAAGAGAAATGTGCAACATGCTGTAACCCATGACAATCAGATAGCATAAAGCAAGGGCATTTCTGAATGGTGACCATGGATTACAGGAAATCAGAGTATGGCTCCTTGCACAGCCTTGTTGAATAAGCCCACATATTTTAAGTCAGCCAGTGTCTGATGAAGCTGGTGGTACACTGTAATAAATCTTTGTCATGTTTGATGGGTTTTTCAGTCACCCCCGCTGCTCTCATGAAATCACCCATTACCCTGTCTGCTGATGAACATTATATTTATTATGTCAGAGTGTACTGTATTTAAATTCCTGGATTTCTCTTTTATTATGCAAATTTTTAAAATCACTAAGTAGCCTAGAGTTTTTTTTTTTGCACGCTTCTAAAGATATTTTTTTATTTGAAGTCATGTAAGTATGGTTAAAAAGCATATAATCAGCAAAAAGTACTGTAGTTGCAACTTTTTAAAACAAATAATGAATTACTTAACTTTTATATCTACAAACCTTTCTTTTAATTTATGATGGAACGTGAAAGAATTAGAAGCTTTGTTTGTTTTTTTTTTTTTTTTAATTAATGTCTGCATCCACACTGTGAAGAGTCCCCCTCTCTATTTGTCCTGGTGGCCACTGGGACTGAAAGGGAAAGAAAATGTAAAACTTTCAGTTGCCACCAGAAAAACAATAATTGAGAAATCTTCCAATGGTGACATCTGTTCTGGTGATAGAGGAGGTTTGCCTCACTTTGGTGAGATTTGCTCTCACTTGCTCTTTTGTCTACAGTACATGGAGTGAAAGGAAATCTTGTTACCCAGACTGAGACACATATGGACAAAAAACAAAAACTGACAGGGGTTTTAACCATTCCCTACTGTATCCAAAATGGAACCGAAAATGTAGACATACTTTACTGTAGCGGCCCTAATTGAACACATGCACTGCCCAATTACCGAACATAAATAATTGTGATGTTTTCAATGTGTACTTATTTTGACCACTGAATGTTAGAATTCAGAAACCCAGGGCTTTCCTGAGGTTATCTTGTTATAATTGATGACAATCATGTTCTAATTCACAGCAAGAATTGTTAAACAGAATACATTGAAAAAGTATGTGTGTATTTGGAAGTTTAAAGGCACAGTCCAGCTTTCACAAAAATAAATAAATAAATACACACACATTAATAAAAGAAAAAAATTTGCACTTATTTGTTTTCATGCATACGAGCCTGGAAAGTATTGCAATCATTTTCAGTAGATTGTGGGAGTAATGAACTGGCTCCTGCAGACTGGTCCTCCCAGCCCCCATCTGTACTGAGATGTAGACCTTCAGCTAAGGGACTGGAGGAAGTATGAATGGACTACAAGTGCAGTTATGACACTGCAATTGTATTCTATTGAGAACTACGAGTCCCCCTGGATCTGTGAATGGATGGCACGGTTTTTGGGTGGAGCCACGCACAGCTACGCTAAATTAAATAAAGGCAGCAGCCTGTGGGGAGAAGAACCC